CGGGGCTGCAAACTCACCTGTACCACTCCACCATGGAGGATCGGATCAACAGCATTGTTTGGCGATCGTACACCCATGCTGTAGACACGTTTGTTGATAAACTTAGTAGCAATATAGCGCAGGAAACAAGCAAAACGAGTCGGGACGAACAACCCAGCGCAGTGGCGAAGCCAAACACAGGCGCCATGCTGGAACCAAAAGTCAGTGTGTGAAATATGCTTGTAGCTCCTGTTAGCTGCTCTCGAGCACGAGTCGACAACTGGAGAAAGATCAAGGAGGACATTCACATCTGACACCAGAGAGCATCTGTGAGCAGAGACAAAGGTTCATCTCCACCTGAATACAACCAAGTGTTATCATGTGACTGTGCTGGCCAAGAGTCATGTGACGACAACTGAGGAAGTTCAGTTTTCTTAAGAAGGCCATGAGATGTTGTCAAAAGCTCCAACACAGAGTCAGTCTGTGAGGTTTGAGTTTAGATTAATTTAATACAGATGTGTTCCTTAAAGTCAAGAATGAAGTTCCACGCTGGATGAAATCTTGTATACAATGAATGTAATACTGTTGTTATTTTATGTTGCAGGATGTGGTTTTGAATCTGTTGAGGTTTGTTCAGACTGAAAGCAAAGCCAACTGAAGTCAAAGCAACGAGTCACAGATTCGTTAAAGACGGCGCCAGCTGAGGTACAGACGTGTCTGCTCAAGTCTGAAATGTTTCAGCTTAAATGAAAAATCCAGCTTTGTCTTTGACGAATGAACAGACAGAAGAAAAACAGAAACTGGAGGAAAGAGACTAAAGAAGTGGAGTTTCTTCTGAGTTCTGAGATCAACGTCTGCTCCATGGTTCCTTGTTCCTCAACGCATCCAGTATAAACTCCTTTTTCTTAATCACAGAGCCACTTTAGTTCTTTAGTTCATTGATACAGTAATTCATCATAGTTCAAATAAAGTTATAAAGGTTATAAAATGGAATAATTTCATTTGCTGTATGAGGAATTAAAAACCAGTTACTGACCACAAGCTGAAAGTAATGCTATGCACAAGTGTGAATTACAAGCGTCACAAAGAAGTGTCATAAAGAAAAACACAGGAAGCATAAACAAGAGAGAATTCTTGCTAGTGCAATGTAAAAGAAAGAAAATGCTATTTCTTTGTTAATGTAATGTTGCACAGTTGTTCAGTAAATGCTGACACGTTCAACGTGATTTTCTGGTCATTTTTTTGTAGAAGTTAGAGCTTTTTATGTGTTGGTCTTAACTGCTTCACCAGTTTTTAAAGTGTTAAACTGTTGAACTGACTGGGTCACCAAACCAGTCAGACTGCGTAAAGTTATGAGGAAACACTGATTTACTGTCACTTATCTGACAGCAGCACAGAAGGAAGGGGAGTCTTTGGGCTGTTGTTGAGCATCAATGAGATATCCATTTGTTCTCAGGCTATTTAAAGCTGATAACTTGGAGCTGAGTTCCTTCACACATTAAACAGGAGCAGCTCAGTTCTTCTCATAGGGAGAACATTTGGGGATTTGCATATTAACATTTCTTTCAAAACAATAAATATATATGCCGGCTGTGTTTTGTTTGCCATAATACCTGTGCTAAAATTCAATAATCCAAGATGACTGAATGAATTCAGACCAGTGGCTGTAACATCCCTGTGATGAATAAGTTTGAGAAAATGTTGAAAGATGACATTGTCTACCCTTTTTGATGGCAAACTAGATCCACTTCACTTTGTTTATTGAGCTGGGTATGGTTGATATGGGTATGGATGACACAAAGATTTTTATTTTAGACACATCATACAAGCGCCTTGAAAAACCCAATTCACTTATTTTAATTGACCAGATCATACATTATTGCTGCTTTAGAATTTTTAACAAACTTTAGCAGGTTGGTCAATGACGTGATGCCTATATTTTGTGTCCAACTGGATTTTTTTCACAAAAAAAAAAGGATGAAAGCATAAAAGCATACCATATAAACGCCGGACCTCTCCCATATATGTACTCACCTTTAACTTTAAAAAAAATTAGCTTTTTGTAATTTTTCTGATAACTGAAGTGTCAAAATGTCATGCGGTGCGACCGTCCGGCCATGACTGCTGTTTTGAAAACTTTACTTTAAATCTATTGAAAATTATGTTTTGACCTATTTGGCATGATTACCAAATCGCAAAGCATCTGTATTTATATTTCCATAATAATACATAAGCAAACTTTGTCCGATGATGTCCATTTTATGAAATATCATGTGGTGCGACCATCAACATTTTATGTTGAAATCCATTAGAAGACAGGAAGTTGAGTAATATACCAATCTGCCAAGGACCCACTGAAACAGCAATTGTAACAGCTTGTATGTAGTTGCCACTTTTGGATATCATGTTGTATGACCTCAGAAAAATAATTAATATAAAGTTATTTCTACCAATATTTGTTTTGATTATAAATTTCATCGAGTCCTTTTGTAGGAAACCTGCTTGTTTTGTTCAGGTGGCCCATTCTCTGCCTGTAAATTTTGATTAAATTAGAAAATATCATGTGGTGTGACTGTTGAAAGGTGGTTTCCATGATTGGTAATTTAGTTTTTGTCCTTTTTATTTTCAATTTATGACTTTTACATATAAAATACTTTTATTGTAGTATAGTTTGGAATAGATTTTTCTTTTTTTTATATTGCAGAAAAAACGGATTATTTTTAGTCTTTGTACAATATCATGAGAAAAATGCACAAAACAATTTTTAGAACTTGTAATTTCACTTTGGTAACTATGCAATATTAGTAATATTTAATTAATTATAACTGTTTTACCAGATGCCACTCCCAAGTAAAGAAAAACTGCTCTCCATGGACAGCATGTTAATTTTGACCCTACAGCAAGAGTGTAGTCGCCAAAAGAAGCAAAAAATATTGCGTCTTAAAGAAAATTTAAAATGAAAACTGAATGAAGCAACATGTTGCTTGTGTGTGTTTCCATTTCTTAGGAGGAAATGCATTTTTTTGTGAACATGTTGGCGTAGGAGCCCGTCCTCACTTGATTTATTATGCTGCATTACGACTCTTGTTGTGTTGTTGTGTCTTTCACACGGGAAATCAATCTGCGAAATCAAGTAAATTTAGAGTTATTTTTAGTTTTAAGCCAACCTTAGTCCCAACAAAATGTAGCAAAGCATTTATTTTTCTAATCTGGCTGAGGACCTGGACCTGCTCAAGCAGAGGTTGGTTACAACATGATGAGAAAGAAAGAAAAGTATACATTTTTTTGTCCTCTTCATTCCAATATTTCACTGTTGTGAGTTTGTCATTCGTATATGTTGATTCATAGGTGTGCTCGTTTTGGTCCCGGCTGCGCCTTATTAACATTTGTGAAGTGGTGTGATGATAACTACCTGGACCTTAATGTGACAAAAGCTATGGAGTTAATCACTGATTTTAGGAACATCCGCATTAATCCAGAAGCTTCTTTTAATAATAATAATAATAATCTTTATTTGTAGAGCACTTTTCAAAAACAAGCTACAAAGTGCTTTAACAAGTGTAAAGACAATAATACAAAAACAATACAAGATAAAAGCATGAAAACATTGAAAAGACTAAAATACACGTTTAAGATAAATATAAAATTAGTAATATACAATAAAATAAAAGGGATAAAATAAAGTCAAATAAGATCGGGAAAAGCTCTCCTATAAAAGTATGTTTTAAGAAGGGACTTAAAAGAGTTCACTGACTCAGCTGACCTGATTTCCTCGGGCAGGCTGTTCCAGAGCCTCGGGGCCCTGACAGCAAACGCTCTGTCCCCTTTAGTTTTCAGTCGAGACTCTGGAACAGACAACAGACCTCTGCCCGAGGATCTCAAGGTACGTGCTGGTGTGTATGGGACTAAAAGGTCAGAAATATAACAAGGCGAGAGGCCATGAAGAGCTTTAAAAGTGATCAATAGAATTTTAAAGTCAATTCTAAAACATACTGGGAGCCAGTGTAATGAAGCTAAAATAGGAGTAATGTGGTCATATTTCTTTGTTCTGGTTAAAAGCCTGGCAGCTGAGTTCTGGACAGTCTGGAGTCGATCAATAGATTTTTGGGTTAAACAGGTGAAAAGGCTGTTGCAAACAGCAGCAGGTATTTCTGAATGGTCCAACATCATTTCTTCAAATACAGTTTCTCTGCCTGGCTGTGTCCTTTCTCCTCTGCTCTTTATTATGTGCATAGACAGCTGCAGGACTGCAGAAGTTTTCTGATGACACTGCCTTACTGTCACTTCTTCAGGTGGCTCGTTTTGGTCCCGGCTGCACCTTATTAACATTTGTGAAGTGGTGTGATGATAACTACCTGGACCTTAATGTGACAAAAGCTATGGAGTTAATCACTGATTTTAGGAACATCCGCATTAATCCAGAAGCCAGCATCATTCATGCAGAAAATATCATACAAGTTCTAAGGAACCACCATGTTTGACTCCAAGCTCAAGTTTGATAAAAACACAGTCATTTGCTAAACTGGGACAACAAAGGATCCACTTGATGCAGAAGTTGAATTCTTTTAGTGTCTCCAAGAGTATCTCGTGTAATTTTCATCATTTGTTTATTTGTTTCTGTGACTTGCTAATTATCCAACCATCGAGTGTGTATAATTTTATGTTTGTATTTAACATTTGTTTTTAGTGAGTAGCATAAAGGGAACTACAGACTTCATTTTGTTACACAACCCTGTGCTATAAAATTACCAACATATCTACCTTGTACACATACACACAGTCTGGCGTCCTGCCACATGCTCTGGTTAACAGAGTGGAACAGTTCAGACAGAGAGTAAGCAACAGAAAGTAAGAGCGATGAAAGCACAGAGAAAGTGTCTGTCTGAAGAGTAGGGAGTGGCTCGAGCTTGTACGCTGATGAGTGAGAAAGGAAGTGCTTATGTGGGTGGGGTGAAGAGACATGGGCGAGGGGAAGGCGTGACTATAATAGGGTAGCCGGCTTTGTTATATAAACAATCCCAGCACTCTTCAGTCTGATGTCCTGTTGCCTTATGAGCAACTCCAAGCAGAACTACTCCAGCATGTTGGGGGCTCAACAGAAGTTCCGGCCCAACCAGGACCGTCACCGCGGCTATGACACAGTGGACTTCAAAGAAGCTGAAGCCGTGAACCAGAAGTTCCTAACTACACACATAAATGAGAAGGCCGAGCTGCAGGACCTTAATGACCGCTTTGTCATATTCATCAAGAAGGTGCACTCCCTGGAAGAGCAGAATGGTACACTGCAGGAAGCTCTCAACCAGTACAAGGGTCAGAATCAGTATGGTCAGCCCAACGGCATCACTGACCTCTTCCAGGAGGAGCTTAGGGAGCTGCAGTGCCAAATGGACGCCATCGGAAAGGAGAGAGACCAGTACCAACTGGAGAAGTACAACCTGGCTGAGGACCTGGACCTGCTCAAGCAGAGGTTGGTTACAACATGATGAGAAAGAAAGAAAAGTATACATTTTTGTCTCCTCTTCATTCCAATATTTCACTGTTGTGAGTTTGTCATTCGTATATGTTGATTCATAGGTGTGCTTATCATTTACTGATGCTGTTGTAATATACATGATCCACGTTAAGTACAGATAAGGTAGAGAGTACCTGGGCGTTTGCCACTTGGGTAGAGTAGTGATGTTGGAGTAAGGCATTGTACATCAGCAGACTGAACACCACAAAGCAGCAGCATGACACAGGACACTGCAATGCATCCTGCGCATGAGATTGTTTTTATGTATTAGTGTATATGGTTTTTGAACAGACTTCTGTCTGACAGGACAGATGGAGCTGAATTCAACCTCACATCCAAACACTGACCAGCCCAGCAGTCAGAAAGTGTCAGAGAAAGAATGTATAATGTATTATATACATTGTGGTATAATTTGTGCTGACTCATGAATTATTACAAACATTGTTTGTAGGTCCATTAGGAAATATTCATCTTCATTTTCATTTTGCACCGTTCTGCAGGAGCACCAAGTGAAATTTTTTGCTGAAGACCAGCCTCGAATGTCTGTTTGCTTAAGCAAATCCCACATGCTGCAGATTTTATATAGCTGCCCTGTAAATTACACACCCATTACCTGTACTCCGCCATTTTTAATCATTGAAGGGTTGGGTTTACATGACCTTATTGAGTGTTTGCAGATTACCTCATAGAACTATAGAGAAAACGCATTAGTTGAAAGGAGCTGCAGATCCCACTAGGGGCACTCTAAATCCCTCTTTACAGGACAGTGAAATGACAAATTGGTCTTTGTCCTCAAGGTTCGACGATGAAACCCAGAAGAGGGCAGATGCTGAGGAACATCTACGTTCTTTACGCAAGGTAACATTCAGCTCACTGGACTGTGATTACCATATTGATAACAGCTTAGACAGCTTTCTTCTTTTGCCGTACATGTCCACAATAGTGTCAAAGTAATATGACAAGACAGATTTCTAAAGTGTCATTGATCTAGAGTACTGCACAGGAGATACACTTTCCCCCTAAGGCTGCAAATGGTGTATACCCGTGAGCAATTGCAAATCAAAGAATTCTGTTGTTGTTGATTGGCAAAAAAACATTTGAATTATAACCTGGAGTTCACGTTTCTAATTTTATACAGAAATACTTCTAAATCAGAACTTAAAATATTTATGTGCACTAAAGGAAACTTCTAATTACATTTTTCATGTCATAGTTGTAAAATAACATACTCTGATAATGATATCAGCGTTTTGAAATGTAATCTTTGAAAAGTAAGTTTATGATGCTGAGGTGTTTCAGCTAGCAACACATACTCTTTGTCTCATAAAAACTAGGCCTTAAACAATGCCACATTGTCCAGTCTGGAGCAGGAGAGGAAAACTGAGTTTCTGATGAAGGAGATTGAAATCCTTAAGAAGCTCCTTGATGTGGTAAGTGACACAACGTCCTCTGCACTTTTCAACTGTGCTTGTACAAATGGAAAAGTCCTTTCTCTCTCTAGTCACCTATCACAATGTTGTCCAGAGAACTAAAATAATAATACTCAACTTTTGCATGCACATATGTCCCAAGCGATTGACACCTAAGTATTTGTGTTAAACCAGTAATTAACTGATTGATTTTATTGCAATGAACGATAGCGCAAGATATACTGCAGAGATTCCTTCTATGTGATGGACTAAAAAGCTTCAACTTATTCTCAACAGCTGATTTAAATTTAAGTTGTATGAACATTGTCAAGTGTTTAATTTGTGATTTTATTATTGATTTTATTCTTTAATGTTTTTTATATTTAATGAGTAGATGGTGTAGTTGTTTGATTAAACTCAAAAAAGTTGTCAGTTCAGACATATTTTGAACATATGGGACAAAAGTCTGAATTTGAAGTCTGATGTGAAGATCTGTGCTGGGAGAAAATGTCCACAAGGCAAGCATTTGCTGAGTTTCAGATGGATGAAAAGAAAATGTGTTTGAGTGTCATCTGTTTAGAAGTTGGAGGAAACTCAATGTTAAGTGATTACATCAAACAGCGATCTTTCTGTAAAAAAGAGTGGGGGTCCCAAAACTGGACCTTGGAGGATATGGATGTTGAGATACACAAGGCCCCTTGCACCTACTGTTTCAGCATGGAAGAATGGGTTTGGTTCTTATTTGTATTTGTGGACACACTCTTGATATGTAGTTTTGTGTTTCTAACAATATTTTGCCATTTTTGACCATTTGTCCATATATTGGTTTTGTCAGGAAATCAAGAATGTACCACTGAGCTACCCGACCCAGCAGAAGAATACTGAGGTGGACAGCCACAGGGTCGACCTAACTGGTGCTCTAAAGGAGATCAGGGTCCAGTATGAGAGAATTTCCCTTAATAGCATGCAGGAATCTGAGGCCTGGTACAAGTCCAAGGTAGGCAGAATCACAAACTGTCACAAACAAACGTACAAACACATAAAGTATACATTTTTGTGTGCTTCACCTTTTGTTCTTGCAGTTTGATGATTTGACTGAGTCTGCAAAGAGCAATGCTGAGTCTCTAAGGCAGGCAAAGCAGGAGGTCAATAAGTCCAGGGGGCAGATTCAGTCTCTGACCTGTGAGGTTGATGTACTGAAGAACAAAGTGAGGCCCAACACCACCTGTCATTTTTCTATAGTAATCTATAATCTATCCTTAAACACAGTACACCCTCTTAACAAAATGTTTGTGTGCTGTGGTTTTAGAATGAAGCTCTGCAGAAACAGGTCCATGAAATGGAAGAGCAGTTTGACACTGATATTGGTAACTACCAGGACAAGATAGGCAGACTGAAGGACGAGATGGCTTGCCACCTTCAGAAGTACCAGGACCTGCTCAATGTCAAAATGATTCTTGACAATGAGATTGCTACTTACCGTGAACTGCTAGAGGGGGAGGAGAGCAGGTGAGGGAGAACATACTGTGTATCTTTACTGGACCTATGGGCCCGAGTATGATGTGAAGGACTGACCCTGACAAATTCAGAAATAAATACATAAATAAATAAATGCTCAATAAATAAATAAGCATCCGATAAAATGTACAAATATACAGTATCTATTTTAATTAGCTTCTTTACTTATTCACCTTTGTAATAATTACCTTATTTATTTATTGTACGTTATAATCTTCAACTTTATTTATTAATTACTTCTTTTTAAAATGTATTTATGCATGTGTGTTATAATATTTTTGTCTTTTTTATTTTTCCGTTGCATTTACAACCCTATTTATTTCCACCTATGGTATTTATTTCTGTCTGTCCTTTTTACATTTCTGTATGCATTTCTGCCTCATTATGCAAATGAGAAGGGGCTGTGTCTCAAGGGGTGAACCGCTCCGCTATCAGTCAGATGGGAGAGCTCTAGGCCTAATCTACCTGCACACATCAACAAGCTTGCTCCTCACACAGTCAGATGACTTCCTTCAGTGCGCTGAGGTGTTTAGCAACTCTATTTGGAGACAACACTACCAGCCATGTCTTTCTTCCCTTTTCGTGTGGACGCTCAGACAGACAGTGTTTTCAGTTCGCTGTACTGTACAATTTAATTACTGCCTAAATGTATTTATTTACTTAATTGTTTTGTGCATTTAATCGGATGCTTATTTATTGACCATTTTTTTATTTCTGAATTTGTCAGGATCAGTCCTCCATAAGTATGAAACATGAGGATCCTATTGAAACTGAAAGAATTCTTTTTCTTCTTTCTTTCTTTCTTTCTGCAAATGAAGCAAATTTTTTTCTAGTTGTTTCATTCAGTGCACGTACATGTAAATCGTATGTACCTGCCAATTCTACCTAAGATTGTAACTTGTAATTGTATAACTTGGAACAGCACTCCTGAAAAACTACTTTGGGAAACCTCAGCAGAAACAGATAGGCCTACTATACAGTATATGGAATGACTCAGACGCGAGGAAATGCCGGTAGATCGTGCTTCATCCATCCAGAGGGAACGATTACCAACCGTCCGCACTTTGTCAGACTGTATATAAGAAATGGACGTAGTCATCGTGACGTCACCCATTGGTTTGTGGACTGCCGTACAGGTACAGTTTGAAAAGGTATTTATTGATGGCAAAACAAAAGGCAAGCACACTTACAACTGGAGTGGCTGGAGTCCAAAGAAATCCAAATTAAACAATCCAAACGAAACAGGTAATCCAACAGGTACAGATCCAAGACTGACAGGGGACGAGACAAAGCAACACATGACAGAGCAACATAACACTACAATGACCGGACAAGGACTGAAGACACAAGACAACATATTTACACAGGTACTAACAAGCAGGACGGGAGCAACACAGGTGACCAGGATCACTAACGAGACAGGCAGGCAGAGAGACAGCAGGTGAAAACAGAGAGACAGGAATGCAGGGGGATAACTCGGGGGAAACAGACATAACACTGGTTACTGAACACTAAACACAGGCCATATCAAAATAAGATGTAACAGATCAAAATAATATATAAATAACAAACTAATCCACATGCAAGCAGACAGATCACAAATAAACTACAACCAACAGGGAAAACAGACTGAAGCTAGGATAAAACAGAACTCAGAGCAGACAAGTCCAAAATAATGCAAACACAGAACTAGGAATAAATACAAATACATTAACTAAGACACAGAACTAGGAACTAAGACCTGGAACCAGAACACAGACTAAATAACAGACACCGAACTGACCAATATATAAAAAAGTGACGAGACAGCGGAGCTAACAGCCGTGTGCGGCACTAGCTAGCTTGCCTAGCTAGGTGCATCTGTAATTCATGTTAATTGTCATTTTAATATTTAGGGATGATAATTTTGTCTAGCGAACAACAGGCTTAAAGCCCCTTCCAGCCAGTTTTAACTGCCATTTTTGGTGAATGTTCTTTTTTTCAAACAGAGAATGGGGGTGTGGTTAATAGGCGGACATAATACATTACCATGACAACCAAAAACTGACCGGCTGGGGTGTTCACTAACGATATGCTGTCACTACACTGTAAAGTTTAGTACCGTTACACTTTACTGTCTGGCAGGAGTAGCTATTACTTACCCATGATAGAAACTAATGTGTGCGTATCAGCTGTTATCAATCATACAGTCGATGGTCTTGTTACGCATCGCACACGTTAACTCCCACTACGTTTTATGGTGCGCTTACTTTACCGCGAGGGTGTGGTGGGTGCCTCCACCCATGCATTGGTAAAACAGTCGTCAATAAAATATATGCTGCAGACTGTATCTAAGACTGGCAGGACAAAATTAAGTTATTTGTCAAAAACTATTTGGCGAACAATGTGGGTAATCAACATTGTAAGGAAATGACTCAGAAAAATATGAAATATCATAGAAATGTCAAAATACACTGGAGGGTTTAACTAAATGTACCCACCAGAGAAAGTGAACAGCCAACTCCTATTAAGCTTTTTCAATGGCGCTGGTTAAATTTACACAGCGCCGTGGTACGAGTCGGCTCTAGCCTGATTGACAGGTCACCATGGTAATGATTTGTCAATCATAGATAATCCCGCCCTGAAACATACTCTGCTTTGTGGTCTGTTTTAAAATAAATGGGACCATTATATACTAAACGAGCGTCATTTTGTATTGAAGAAGACTTGAAACTAGAGATTGAGACCATAAACTCATCAGGAAAGTGTTTACTGGGGTAATTCTTCAGCTGAGAAGTAGGGTAATTTTACCATTATTTACAATCGAGCCAGACTTCTTTTTGCAACCTGAAGAGTCGCTCCCTGCTGGCCGTTCAACAGAATGCAGGTTTCAGGGACTTCCGCGTTCGCATCAGATTGCCTACAGTTAGTGATTGTTCCCTCTGGCTGAATGAATTCTGCGCGTGATCCATCCATTACTGCAGCTAGGGGTTCTCCGCACTTTTGGAAGACGTCATTCTCCGTGCACACCGTTAGTAGATCGACTTACGTGTTAATTTGCTGGTGATATCAAGTTTGCACATTTTTACTCACGCACAACTTAAGTAAATCTGGCCCATAGTGTACAAAAAAGCTCAGAAGTGTTCCACACCTGATGTACTGGGACATAACATGTAGTTACCAGGTGCCTCATAGGGGACACGGGAAGTAAGGTTTAAGTCCTTCATGCAGAGTCTAAAGTCCATGAAAATTCAGAGCCGCGTCGGCAGAGCTGTGGCAGCTGCAGCACAGCCATGGCAAGCTTCTTGTGTGGGGGCCATCCAAAACTGCTTGTGACTTTAATGTTATCGTTGACCTTGTGGATGTTTAAGTTTTTATCTGACCAGAATCTTACATTTTTGTTTCTTTTATGGTCTAGTCTTCAATCTGTGTCAATTATCAATCTGAGAGTAATAAATATGCAAGATTAACACCCAAATTTTATATTCCATGTTTAGGATTAACAACTCCAACCTTGACACAAGCAATCCATTTGATGACCAAGGTAAGTTATAGTTCTCTTTTTATTTGATCAAATATACCAAGTCTCTGGAGTCTTCCCATTTAAAATTTTTCTTTGAGCAATATCCTTCATCCTTCATTATCACACATTTTAGATGCCTCACAAAGGAGGCCAGCTGAAGGCCCGATCCTAACCCTCACCACTTAAGGAAACTTTAGTCAAAAATAATCTATTATCTCGCCAAAGTAGTCAAGAACTCATAGTTAAAAACTTCTCTGGAGACAGTCAAGAATCGGTGCAAAACAGTTTTTATTCTAATAAAGGACAAAAAAACCCGAGCAAGATCCTAGAAAGCATCAGGATGGAACTGAATACACAGTCATCGAACATCGCTTTATATTCACCTCAAACCCCACCCTTCAGGTGGGCGTTCTACCTAGTCTCCTCCTAGACTCCTTGATGGTGGATTTCTTTTCCTCTGCTGCCATCTACTCGAAAACTCACCAAACTTTGCACAAAATTCAGGTGTGAATTTTTTATCTTGTAATTTATAGGTTTAGCACATGGGCGTGGCAAAATGGCTCACTAGTTTCACCTACGTGTACGAAATTTCTGTGGTACGTGTATCATGTCCATATGTATTTGGAAGGGGGGAGTGTCAGTGGGGGACCCTGGCCTTGTTGATGAGGCTGCAGACGGGAAGAAGCTGTTATTGTGGTGAGAGATTTTGGTCCTGATGGACCGCAGCCTCTTGTCAGAGGGGAGAGTCCGAAACAGTTTGCGTCCGGGGTGGGAGCAGTCAGCTGCAATCTTTCCTGCTCGCCTCAGAGTGCTGGAGGCGTACAGGTCCAGAAGAGAAGGAAGATTGCAGCCAATCACCTTCTCTGCAGAGCGAATGATGCGCTGCAGCCTGCCCTTGTCCCTGACAGTGGCAGCAGCGTACCAGATGGTGATGGAGGAGGTGAAGATGGACTCAATGATGCTTTGTTAAAGTCCCCAAGAACAATGTGTCTGGGTGTTTTTTCTCCACGCTAGTTATCTGGTTGGCCGGGTGTAGTAACGCCTCACTAACACAGGCCTGAGGTGGAATGTAAACAGCGACCAGAACAAACGAGTCTGTTCATCTTTTTAACGTAAATAACTTGTAGGTAGTAATTACAATGAAAAATACATTATTTATTCAAAATAATGGTTGTTAATAAATTAATTACTGACCCCCACAGATGCATGATTTTATCGAACCCTGTCTGTGGTTGAAACAATCAGTCACATCCACATGAAATAAGAGAAATTTGTCTTTTTTGTGTGTGCATAATTAGGTCTCTCTTCATCAGGCTAAACCACTTAGCATGACTAGTTAAATGCAGACTGTTCATACACATAGCTTGAATATTGACATTATGGCAGAAAGCAGGAGTTGTTTTAAGCATGATATACTGTGTGTAGCTATTTATTATTAAACATATTAACATTAACTTAACAGACACTGCTGTCAGCTGTGTCAACCTAGTTCTCTGATGTAACGTTACTGACTTCACAAACGGAGCCCGCTGCACCAACACATTCCCAGGGCATCACACACCGAAGCTTAGAGAGTTGACAAAGCGTCGGTATTGGACGCTCTGGAAAGAGACCAGATAGGTAGACAGTAGACAGTGCACTAAATTTTCATCTGTAAATATCAGATAGTAGCGCTATTTGAAAGCTATACTACCATGGTGCATGTGGAGGCATGACTGTTTAACCACCACATCTCCATAATTCAGTCTGCCTCTTGTCATTATCACCTTCAGGTTTCCTTCTAAAACCATTATATTCCCTGTTTTCTGTCTAATGGCCATTGCCATTCCTGCACCATGTTGCAGCATGTGGTTAGCAGGTTTCTCCATAATCACACTTTCAGTTACTCTCAGGCAGTAAATGTCTGCTTGTTCACTTCAAAACTTGTTAGAAATCCTGCAAAAACACCACATTTTACCGTACCATTATTAGGCAACCACAACTGCGAAGGTACGGACAAATATTGTCTAACAACTGCATTGCAATGTGTCTTGATTTTTTTGCCCTCTCCATCATATGCTCTGCCGGGGTTGCGGGAGGTAGTCCCTTTGCAGGCTCATCCTGACATGGAGATGGTGGTTGGGTGGGTGGTTCTATCCAGAGTCTACTCATGTCTAGATATTTAATGTCAATGCGTAACAAATGGTTCTCACCCGCGCACTGTTTGAGCACGGTAAATCACACTTTGCTACCTTCCTCTCCTCATTCATCAAAGGACATCTACGTGACAGGTGCTGTTATGCGAGCAGCAGGAGTTAGGTCTTTTAACTGCAGTGCAATGTGTTTGCATAGCGAGTGAGTGGACGAGTGAATGAGAGAGAGAGAGAGAGAGAGAGAGAGAGAGAGAGAGAGAGAGAGAGAGAGCGGCAGAAAGTGACGCTGTAAGCAAGCGAGTAACAAGTTGTCAGGTTGGCAGTAAATGTAAAGTATAGGTCACAGTCTGTCCATTATTAAAAGTCTGTCTGTTGTTTTCACAACTGCTGGAATGTGAAGGCTGTTAGTTCAAGCAGCGTTGGGTGGGCTCTCGCATGTGTAGTGCGTCGAAGTGTGAGGTGGCTACATTGCCAATTCTGGAGCTCTGTCCGTGCAGCTGCGAATTTGCTACACTGCACTACAGTTGTTAATCATGACTTCCTGTGTCCCCTTTGTGGCGCTGCAGAGCCCTTGACGCTACGACTAAAGGTGGATATTGGCGTGTAGATGTTTTCAGGGCGGGAAAGTTATGAAACACGCAAAGATTGGTACAGATTTCAGCATGTACAGTTAAGTTACAACGACTTCCTCTTTCACGGCAAAGCATGGAACTTTGCCACCCCGCCAAGAATACGGCGTTGAAGAAAAAGTTACAACAACATGACATCATTAATATGTTAAAAGTTTTCTGAGATAGTTTTGAAGTACATATAGCCAACCTGCAAGAAGTGGTTAATGACAGCATAAATGTTGTCACTTCCTGTTGCCAGAAGGTGGCGCTGTGACTATGGGGGAATTGTGGCTTGTAGATGTTTTCAGGGCAGGTCTCTTATTAAACGTGTGAAATTTGGTAGAGATTTCGTCACCGCCACGCCGTTCATTGAAAACTCACAAGTTTTGGAGTATGTCTTCATCAATGTGTTAAGGATTTTCTGGATATGTTGATATGTCCAACCTGCTAGGAGTCAATTCCAACATAAAACGTGTCATTTCCTGTTGCCAGCCGCTGGCGCTATGACTTTAAGTGAATCTTGGCATATGGATGTGTTCAGGGCGGAGCTCTTAAACTGCATGCAAATGGTGCAGATGTGAGCATGTAGACTTAAGTTACAACAACTTCCTGTTTTCTGGCAAATTATTGATTTTGGACGCCACGCCACGGGCACGCTGTTCCACGAAAATTCACCGTTTGAACAACTTCTAATTGTCAGTGGGTTTACACAGCACAGATCTGAAGTCGGTTGGACAAAATCCCTAGGAGGAATTTGTTACGGAGCCCTCTAAATCATCCAGAAATTCAAAAACAATTCAAAAAGGCCGACTTCCTGTTGGGATTAGAGCATCGCTCCAAGAGGCTTTTTGGCACGTTTGAACATGATACATGTGCCACAGAAATTTCATACATGTTGGTGAAACGTGCCGCGGGGCTGCTTCGTTAAAGGTCACTTTCTGTTGCCAGCAGGTGGCGCAATGGCTTTGAGTGAATGTTGGCATGTGGATGTGTCCAGGACGGGACTTATCAAATTTAGTGCAGATGTGAGCATGTACAATGAAGTTATTACAACTTCCTGTTTCATGGCGAGTCATCCATTTTCAACGCCTCGGGCACGCCGTTCCACGAAAACTCACCGTTTGTACAACTTTTAATCGTCAGTTGGTTTAGAGTGCACAGGGAAAATTTGAAGTTGATCAGATTAATTCTCTAGGAGGAGTTTGTTAAAATATGCACCCTGTAAATGGTATAATTGTTGTCGGCAAACAATAATTCCTTCAGTTCCAATAAGGTCCTCGCATGTTCACAGACAGTGAACAAGCTCCAGGCCCTGTGAAGATTCCAGATGTAGGTACAATGATGTATTCAAATGTTACATGATAATGCAAAATGACTTGAGCTGCCTTATTTGCATTAAAGAAATAGTAAGAAACAGCTCTATTTACTTACACAATATCAACTTGACCAAACCTGTTTCTTTTCCATCCGGTGGTGAAGGACTCCAAGAAGGAGAATGAGAAAGAGACCTCGGATGACTCGGACAAGAGCAACATTTAGATAAAAACTGATTAGGAAATGTGAAGGCCACAGCCATGAGAGAAAAAAACAACAAAAAAATATATAACCACACCAGCAATGATCGGAGCCGCAAAAAAATGCAACATTTGATACCTTCAGAGAAAACCAGATGCAGGTGATTTAGGACATTAAAGTGATGAAACAATTTGGACTTGAAGCCAAGCCTTTTTTGAGAAAATTGCAAAAATCCCAAAGTGATCAGAGAGTGTCATTGTATGACTAGTGGGTGAAATTTTCAACCCACCTGCAAAATTGTGTGTTTCCAAGTTTTAAGGTTAATGCTGCACAAACACTTTTTAGCAGAGAAAACTAAGAAAGTGTCACAGGATCCAAGTAGAATATGAAAACCCATTTGTAGCAGAGCATTAAACTACAGGCTAAAAAAGGAAGTTTAAATGCAGAAATTTAGTAGTTTGTGTCAACATTCTTCAGAAGACCAACTGAGTCATAAATTAACCTGTTTGCATTTGTTTTAGAAGCTTTCTATCCTCTTGTTGTGCAAACCAACAAATCACCAGACATGGATTCTTAATAAACATGTTACACTCTGAAAATAAGACGGTCACCAACTGAAAAGACTTTGCTGAATGTGCTTTGCTGAATGTTATGTGTATCTGACATGATTGAACAATGAATATGTTGCAATAAACATAATTGGAGCAAATGTGTTGTCTGTCCACATCACTCAGTGTGAATGTACTTAAAGATATTTTTTGGGTTTATACTAATTTCCTCTTTTGTATAAGCAGAGGTTTGTTCCTTACAAGTCAAGGTCTCTAGCCTATAACCCACACTTTAAGTCCAAGAGCACATTGTACTTGTAAACAGGGATGGGCAAAGATACATCAAAATATATTTTAAAATAAGATACCAAATAACCTAATTTTAAGTGTATCACTATAAACTAAAAAATACAGCAGCCATGCCATGTATCAAAATAAACTACTGCATTTTTGCTTTTCAAAAATACTAAAATGCTTTTCCAAGGTACTATGAAATCATTCGCAAACCTTGGTGATTACATGGACAAAGTTTAAGGTAAATCTGACACATACAACCAGTTAATATGTCAAATATTTACATATCCCCGTGATCACCGAAATGAAGGTTAGTTTCAATGTAACAGTTTATTGTTTATCAAACTGATTACTCATGACTTATAATTGTATCCTAATTGAGTGACATGGTGTTTGGTAATGAATGGCCTACTTACATCATCTGAGCTGGTTTGACAACCAGCTGTTTAATGGCGTTCGAAGGAAACCTACACATTTCTCACCTTGACCTTCTTCATGGCTGGATTAATTTCCTCTTCTGATCTAAACAAGTCTGGGCACCTATCAGAGTCAGCCTTTTTATGATGTCACATACAACCACAAAGGATCTGAAGTGAATGTCTAGGTTAGTTGATTTAGTCGGTTTGGCTGCTGGAGCAAAGTGAGGTGTTGAAAGAAACCAAGAGTTGAATGTAGAATAACCCCAGCTTCATGTATTTGAGTAAAATATATAAAACAAAAATTGTAGATGGTACCAATGATAAACAACAACAACAACAAAAAATGACTAAACAAGTCAATTAGTGATATCAAAATAAGAATATGTCAGTCTATAAAAAAATGTTAATTTCCAAATTTACAGTGTGATAATGATAACTGAGAATACAATAACAGTAAACAATGTGAACACGTTGATGAATCTTTAGGTAACAAGCTGAAAGCTTTCCCACACTGGTCACCGCTGTACAGTTTCTCTCCAGTGTTAAGTCTCTGATGAATCTTAAAATATACAAATGTGGTGAAGAATTTGTCACAGTGCTGATCACACGGTAATGTTTGAGTCACTCGCTTCATCCCTGTTTCTAAAGCAACCGACACATGCAGAGAGAAAGATGATTCGTGAGATGATGGTGGAGCGAGTTAAACTTTTAATATATTCTAGATTCATTACACATGAAAGTGAAATATTTCCGGCCTTTTTTTTTGATGATTACAGTTTACAGCTCATGTAAATCAAAATTACATAACTCAAAATATTCAAGAATCCATAATACAGAAATGTTGTTCTGAGAAAGTTTAACTTATGCACTAAGTACTTGGTTGGGGCACCTTTTGTATTAATTACTGCACCAGTGTGGCCCAGGTTGCTTTGATAGCGGCCTTCAGCTTATCTGTGATGTTGGTTCTGGTGTTTCTCATTTTCCTCTTTACAATACCTCGTAGGTTCTCTTTAAGGTTCAGGACAGCAAGTTGGCTGGCCTACCAAGTAGTTTACAGAAACCCAACAATTCCCACCATCCTTTTAAGAGGCAGAAACCTTAACAAGTAGTAATACCATGGTCAGTAAAGCAGTTACAAAGCTTAACCATGACATGTTTTTACAGGAAAAATGACCTAAAATAGTCACTGATTAATATTCTGTCACTCAACTAATTGATTAATCGACTAACAGTTTCAACAGCACTTGGATAAACTGTTGGGAATTAAATTTGTGTAAAAATCTTAATTTGTAAAGCAACTAGTAACTAAAGCTGTAAGTAAAAATACAATATTTCCCTCTGAGATGTGGAAGTATCTGAGTGTTGTACATAAGTACAGCAGTGGAGTAAATGTACCTGTTATGTTAATGTAAATGTTATTTGAGGAGCTCTCCAGTTTGTCCTGAGGGACGAACAGACTGACAGTGACAGGAAGCAGCCAGCAGGAGGCAAACTGTGTGCAGAGGGTTTGTATCCTGTTACCTTTAATAGAAACAACCAGTCCTCCTATAATGGAAGATCAGCAGCCCAGTAAGGTCGTTGTTATTTCATTAAACACCACGCATAGTTTCTAATAAGGGGTTTGGAAAAGCTTCTCTGAGACCTCAGACCTCAGTTAATAATATCCTACTAACATTGGTGGTTGAAAATGAGTTTTCATAGTTTGGTAAGATGCTTTGCTCCAAATAGCCAAAAAGACATTGGTGCATGACACTGTTGGTTGGCATTAGCAACCTGCTGGTAACTAGTTATTTGTTATACTAACGCTTATGATATCCCATTAAAATGACCACCTGGTTGAATGTAAATAGGGATATGACTTTATATACAGTCCAATGTTTCCCCATTTTCCCAGTCCAGTATGGCCTGCCAGAGTTTAAATTCTGTTTCCTAATGAAGTGAAAACATTCTCAAACTTCCCATTATAACATTAAATGTCATTGCTTTTTGCCATTGATTTGTAAAAGTATCTGTCAAACAAACTAAAATAGAAAGCGCCATGTGGCTTTGGTCCCTTATCAAATTGCAAAAGACTGCAATTTAAATAAGTATAACAATAAAATAAGTAAAATAAAATAAATAAAAAACAAGTTATTTAAGGAGGTTAGGAGTACATTTTAAATGAGCTACTCTTTCCTTTTACTTGAGTAGATTTGTACTTAAGTAAAAGTTCATCAAAGTAATCAAACTTTTACTTAAGTAGAATATAGTTGTACTCTTTCCACCTCTGCATGTTACTAACTCGACTTCTTTCCTTTCCCTTAGTCTTGTGCTCTCTCCTCCTGCTGCTTTCTGCAGGTGTTTCTGAATCTGTGGTCTGTGGAGAGAAACCTTTTGGCTGAAGAAGAGGAAGCAGACAAAGTGAGTTTTTAGGATTCATTTCTGATTAGGATTCCACACACATGGAATCATTTCCATTTGCTGAATCATCATGAAGATGTTCAGAGCCTCTTCTACTGTTGTTGTTCCCTTTTACACTTCTGCAGGAATAGCAATATTATATATTCCACTTTTTCTGTCCAGATCAGCCGACAAATCAACAAGCAGACTGTTTCTCCTGGATGATGGAGGAGCTCTATGGATCTCTGGGTCACCAGCTGGAGGAAGGAGGAAGCAGAATGATGAAGATCAAAGAATATATGGCCCCACTCTGCCACATGGGGGCGCTGTAACCAAAGTCTTTCTGCCTGGTGAATCCATCAGTCTCACAGCTTTAGATCCATTTTCATGATGCTGAGTGGAGAAATGCTTTCTGTACATTGGAGGTTGTATTTACAGTTTTCCTCCTCAGAGGATATTCATGCTTCTCAAAATGATCCATAACTCGTCTCCTCACAACACCTGATGCATTTCTTGTTGTTTCCCCACAGAAGTCAAAAACACCTGAGCCGGTCTCTTCAGGTGATCCAGTGAATCAAAGTGCATCACAGTGTTGTTCTAACGATGTGGATCACTGTCACGTGTTCATCAACACGCTCACCTTGCAGGTAACAGTCAGAAGCTGTCCAGCAGAAACGTCTCAGGAGACAGGTGAGGACAAGGGCTTTTATTCACCACAGAGAGCATCCTCGCTCACTGCAGTCTCATTTACACTCCTCACCTGTCACAGGTTTAGAAATCACTCAGTGTCAGTTTCAGACAGCTGATGCTGCTGCTCCAATACTGATCTCAGATCTGTGTCTGTGTCAGGGACAAGAAGCAGCAGTTAACTACTGAAGGACCAGAAGAGACACATCAGTGGCTTATCCTGCTAACTTCAGCTTAAACACACCTTTTAAAAAATGGATTCAACACATTTGATCTTTGGTTTCTATCACTTTGAAAATAATTCTAGGAAAACTTGTCAGAAACAAACACGTCTCTCACGGCCACTTCAGCATAAACGCACTTTCATGACCCACAAGTGTTAAATATGGAACAATGAGGACAAAAAGAAATGACTGTTTGAAATGAACTGAATCACCAGAACTCGTTTTAAGGCTGTTTGCAGTCTGGAGAACAGAACAGAGTCTCCAGCTGCTGATACAGTAACGATGGTTTGTGAATCTCTGCGGGACAAAAAGCTTCAATCTGCTAAGCGCTTAGCAACAGTAACTAAGGGGGCGTAAAGCTCCACGAGGTCCCGCAGCGCTCCTGAATCTGAAGAGCTGCTGGATCTCAGAGACCAGGACCAAGAGCGGGATGGAGGAGGACAACCAGGACCCGGAGCCCCGGAGCAACAACGTCCCCGGAGGACAAACAGCAGGCTCGAGCTCTGATAGCACCGATGTTCAGGTCAGTGTTCATGAACACAGCTAGCAGCTAACAAGAAGCTAACGTGGCGTTAGCTCGGCCTGGTTCCGACACGTAGCTTCATATTGACTGTAAACAAGATGTAATGTAGCAGGATTCAACAGTGGAGCCATCAGAACCCCGTATCTCTACAGAACCCACACTTAATGTGACGGTCGGACCCGGAGAGGAGGAGGAGGAGGAGGAGGAGGTCTCTTGTAGCATGTAGCCTGCTGCCTGGGTGTTAGCATGCTAGCTAGCGGGACAAAGCTGAAGTTAACTTTTGCTTTCCTTAATGACTGAAAGAGGCATTTCATCTCCTACACTGAAGGAGAACATGTTCAACCGTTTCTAGTTGGTTGCACGCCCTGTATCAGGATCTTTGGAGCCATCTGTAAATATAAACGCGGAGTCTGAAATATGCAGCTCAAAATAATTCTGTACTATGCATCATTCTGGAAGTTTCTTTGACATATCCTTTAATTCCTGCTGTTTGTTTAGATCTACACTTGGTGTTGGGAATAACCAGGGAGGAATGGAAGACATTATAGGACACTATAGGGCTGTAATCTAATTGTCGTAATCCTATGACTTCTGCCTTTGCATCAACAATCCACCCAAAACTTGT